GTGAAGGCGGAGCTAGTGAAGTCTGACTCAGTGAGAACACACACGGGAATAGAGCTTTAACTGTATCTCACGTGGTTGCAGAATTGTCTCGGCTTATTTTATTATACAATCTGTAACTTGTGAGGTGAGCAGTTTGAACAACAGTCAATTAAATCTCTTTCTTGATACTGACTAGAAATAAATTAAATCTAAATAAAAACAAACTGAATAGAATAAAACCACATTTAAAAAAAAATCAAGAAATTTGAGATGAATTTAGAAATGAATTCAAATTCAAAAAATAAAGAAAAATAAAAAAATATTTCCACATAATGAATGTTAGCTCACCGAAGAGCAACTCATCCAAACGCATGAGCCTAAGAAAAATATCCCTCATTCTTTCTTCCTAGAAATCCAGAATACATCCATTTGTTGCTGCAAGAAGGTTTAAAGAGGAGAGAAGGTCACAGAAAACAGCCCTCTATTGAAAACTGGTAACTCCCTGGTATTTATTTCGGAGGGGTGGACATACGAAAAATAAATGATCCAATCAGGTGTCTTAGTAAAAGGAGGGAGAGAGAGTGGATGAGACAAATCATTTTTAGAAAAGAAGGCTGTGCTTCGATTCACTTAAAAAACTTCTAACTAGTCACCTCCCATCAACTCCTGTGGTGCATATAGAGTTCAGGTTATTGTACACTTGAAAAAATAAAAAATAAATAAAAAATAAAATTTATATAAAAATATATATATATATATATATATATTTAAATATATATAAATAATATAAAATATATATAAAATATAAAATATAAATATTAGCAGAAAAACTTAAACTTAAGTTAAACTTCAAAAAAAAAAAGCTTCACAGATGGGGCTTAGATTAAGCCAGGATTAGGTCTTAGTTTAATCAAGATTAAAAGTTACTTTTCTAAATGTGCCTTAAAAAATATTACTTGTGTGCATTTTGATACAAAACAATGGCGCTGACATATTTTAAGATATGTCAGTGCACGTTGTTTTTAGTTAAACAAGCTCAAACATGCATTTTAGTCCATGACTAGTTAAGCCTCGTCTGTGAAACCAGGGGTAAAAGATTAAAATTACAAAAAGTAAAAGCTAATATTATATATAATAAAAGCCATATTTATTTGAATCACAATGTGCACAGAAACACTTCTGGAAACAGCGGCATGAGCAAAAAAGCTAGGGGGAAAACTCAGATGAGGAAAAACTAGGGGGAATACTCAGATGAGGAAAAAAGCTAGGGGGAAAACGCAGACGATCCTGGAATAAGCGCATGATCAGTGGAAAAGTCCCAGTAGATTCCAGTACTTAAAATCTATGAGAGACACTTGAACAGTTAGAACACAGACAGTAGTGTAATTCTGCAGGAATTGGGCCTGTCTGTTCTGCACTTTATGTTCTCTTAGACTCTCTCTGCCATCTTCATTCCATTATCACACACAACCACCGCATTCCAAAATAACAATGAGATTCCCCAGAGTAAATGTCTCTCCACCCTGAGCGCCATCTCAAAAATCTGTGGGAACTGATGAGAGATCAAGTCTTGAGCAGGCCCAAGTGAAATCTTTACAGTTTGATGCATTTTCTGCAATGATTGTGAGGGAAAACCTGCAGATTTTGTCGGATTATGTTGAATTTTGCAGGGGCAGATTAGATGGGGGTTTTACACTTCTGTAAGAACATGACTCATGAAGCCAAAGGGTGGAGAATTGGGACACATGCAGCATTCCGAAACATGACACAACATGGAACTCATACACTTATGGGGCAAATTACACTGCTAATACTTTCTTAAAATGATATAGCATTCATTCATATAATTTTCAGATTGCATTATAAAGTCATCAAGGTGATTAGTAAAACCTGTAACCTTTAATTCATAATATTATATAACACATAAAACATTTTCTACTGCAGTCCAAACGACTAATTCAGAACTAAAGAACATAAATCCCTGGGATATAGGCTATTTAAGTAAAATTACAGGTTTGTTGAGTCATGCATTGAGAATGAACATACAAATCGTTCTATTCATAAACACCCCACCAAAGCCGTTGCTATGGACTAGTGTAACCAAAAAGATGAAATGTTGAGGCAAAGACTCAACTAGGGAAACAGTGACTCACAGTTGCCGAATCCCAATATCAGGAAACGTTTGCAGGCGTTCAAGGATCCACCATACCCTCCTCCTCCTACTAGCATGGCGATGCAGATGGACTGTGCAACGCCCTCTAGTGGCAAGACAATAGAAACGCAGAGTTCTAACAGAAATTCACCATGGTCTCCAAGTACTGTAGCCTACAAAAGACAGAAGTTAAAGGGATAGTTCACCAAAAATTTAAAATTCATCAAGTTGTTCCAAACCTGTATGAATTTTTCTTCCTTTGCTGAACACAAAATAAAATATTTTGAAGAATATGGGTAACCAAACATTTAATGGGCCCCAATGACTTCCCTATGGAAAAAAATATATAATTAATATTTTAATTCACCCCCTCAACTTTTATTCTTGAAACCTGGATATATAGCTGGATATATAGCTTTTGATGTGATTTCTACAACTGGAAAAGTAATGTTAATTAATGAAATCTTAAAACTTCATTACTCATATGCATTTTAATCATGAATATAAAAAAAGAGAGAAAAAAACATTTATACTGGTCACACTGACTTTGATTTGGTGGACAATGGTGTGAAATATTTCACAGCAAACCTCCTTTCCCTCCTTTGTATTAGTAGGTGCTAGTGACCTCTGCTGACGACAAACAGTCTCTCTCAAGAGGTCAGACCTGTGGCCAGTTGCACAAACTGCTGTGACTAGTCTTAAAAGTTAGTCATCAAAATATTTTCTTCAAGACTGGTTATAACTTTTTTAACCGCCACTGCGTGCACTCAGAGGACCATATGTGCAAATCGGCACAGGCCAGGAAATATATTTGACCCATTTGAATTATTCACAGAATGCTAGATTTTAGAGTGATATGGAGGAGATAAGGAGGAAACTGGTATTATGGTGACAGACAGGCATTAAGACCGTTTAGATCAGACCTTTACCATTTTGTGCATTTAAACAGGGAAAAATCTAAGATGGCATCAGTAAATTATATCCAATAAGTAATACTTTTGAATTTAATTTAATTTAATAATTGAATTGAAATGTGAATTGAATGTGAAATGAATGTGAATTGAATTTAATGTGAATTGAATGTGAATGAAATGTGAATTTAATCAAATGTTAATTGAATCTTAATTAAATGTGAATTGAATTGAATGTGAATTGAATCAAATGTGAATTGCATCAAATTTTAATTGAATCAATTGTGAATTGAATGTGAATCGAATGTGACTTGAATCAAAACTGAACTGAATGTGAATCGATTGTGAATCGTATATAAATTGAATCGAAGTTTAATTGAATTTCAATGTGAATCTAATTTAAATATTATATTGAATCAAATGTTTGAATCGAATAGGTGTGTGAGTTTGTAAGTGTGAATTAATTCTGAATTGAATGGGAAATTGAATTCAAATGTGAATTGAATTGAAAATAAATTTAATTTAATTTAAAAAAAGAATTGAATTGAATGTGTATCAAATGTGAATTGAACTGACTTGAATTGCCGAAAAGTAAGACACTGCCTAATGTGGGACAACTAAGGTCTAGTGTTTGTACGTCCCCCATAAATACAATGCCAGTAAAACTATGGGTTACCCAACGCTGTGGTATTATGTGATCAAAATAACATGATCTCTCAAATGTCCAGTCATATATGAGGGTCGAGCAATCATCAAACAGGAAGTATCTTGTGAGAAGACCATCTTAAGGTCATTGACAGAGTTTGGACCAACTGGATATTAAGAAGTAGGCCTATAAATGTATTTTAAACAAAACAATGCTGCAACTATTGGCCTAATCTGCTTATGAAATGTTTGACCATTAAAAAATATTTTTACTTTGGATGAAAAATATCAAATTTCCTAGGGTTCCACTTTCGGAAATGTGGTTTCAAAAAGTGGGACATATGATTAGCCTAATGTGGGACAGTACTTCAGTCAATGAAAAATCTGTAGCATTTGTGATGGTTTGTGTCCCATACACTACTGTGAAGACACTTCAGTGGGCCTTTAAGACACCACCTGGTGGCTAAAGGTTTATGCTACTGGCCTCAGCTTTGCATTTTTGTCTTATCACTCACCTGTATCAAGTCTCCAAGTGGTGGCAGCATTAACACAGAGGTTATAATCTTTGGACAATGACTTTAATTCAACCACAAACTTCAATGACTTTAACTTCAACCACAAAAAGAAAATGTTTAGAAAGACGTGTAACATTGCAAAAGAACAACGTATCAAAATTACAGGACATATACGCCTGCTGTCACGATGATACATGCTATAATGAACATCTATCAAGTACAAATCATGCCTTATAATTACAAGTGTGGTGCATAGCCTGACAGGGGCAGTCTACATGAGTTCATTGCTCTTTAATAATTACCCTCATTCAACACATCCACTACTGTTTAGAGTTTCCAACTTGTTTTTTATTTTATTTTATTTTATTATGAATGTGAGGTAGAATCAAGTTTGAAAAGTGTTTGAAACTCAAAAAGTTTTTTCTTTTCTTCCAGTTGATGGTAATGATGGGTGTTCAAACTGAAAAGCCACGGGGACCCGTCGCTGCTGTGTTTAACCTCGTTTTTTTTTTAGACTTAGGCATGTTAAAATAGAAACAGAAAATGCCTTTATTGCTCTTTAAAAAGGCAAAGCTTGAACAATGAACTATAGGCCTACTTCACTTCTCACTGATGAGAGCCGCAAGTTGTTTCCAAAAATGCAACATGAGAGTTTGATAACTAAAGGGTGTTAGGGAGGAAAGACCTTGCGTCGTGCTTTCCTTGAAACACAAATGGTTCGCACTGCCTTGAGCATTCAAGGATACACAAATATACAGGCATGACCACACACACACCGTCTATTAACAGCCAGAACTGTTTTCCGGTGCCACCAGACTGATGTCTCTGGATCATGTGAAGCGGAGGAAATATCCCTGGGGGTGTGTTTGATTAGAAAAACGGTACGTGAATTTGACAAATATTGTATAATTTGACACTTCCATCCTGGGATCAGATCAGATCAGAGGGTCTTAAACGGTCTAAAAGTGGGCATGGGCTTGATATGGATGAACAGAAGTTTAATGGTCAGGAATGTTGGATTTTTGTAAGCATGTGAGGTTTTAATCACTGGCTCTGTTCTTGTCTGGACCAGCCTTTCAAGTAGGCTACTAATTATGGCTGCTTTTCAACTCACATAACTGGAAAATGTACAGCAGATTTAGGGGGAGAAATACATGAAGAAATAATGGATCAAACAAAACAAACAAGGTTTTGTGTTTGATGTTTTCATTTGATCCTCAGTATGAAATGTCAGTCATGTACTAAGAGGTAGAGGCTTAAATAACTAATTTTCTTCTTCTTTCAACCTTTACTTGGAACAGCTTACAAGTTCATTTGAACAACTGATGTAGACGGCATTCAAATAAAATACTAAGTTTCGTTTCTTCTTACTGACTCTATACAATCCAGTGGCTCACTCTTCCTTACCATTAAGATCTTTTTACATGTTCTTTAAGCATTAGAAGGTGTAAAACCTCTATGGTTGTTTTTGCCTGTTTACATCACCACTAAAAAATATGACCTGGGTTACATTCAAATCCAGGTATGAGCATCAATATGTTGACAACCTATATGACCACATATGAACAAACAGCTCATTTTTAAGCATTTTGAGTCTATGTCATTTGTTTGTATGTTATTATTTTGTACGCTTTCAGGAAATCTAGTATTTATTAGGGACGCATCATTTGCATTATTTAATCAAAAATACAGTAAAAGTAATATTTTTTAAAAATATATATAATAATAATAAAATAACTGTTTTCTATTTTAAAATATGATTTATTCCTGCAAAGCTAAAGTCGTCAGTGTCACTTCCTTCAGAAATCTGCTAATTTAGTGCTCAAGAAACATTGACATTATTATCATCAATGCTGAAAACAATTATGCTGCATAACATTTTTGTGGAAACTGAGATATTTGATGAATAGAAAGATCAAAAGAAATCTTTTGAAAAACATTATAAATGTCTGTAATTCCCAAGATTTTCCAATATGGCGCCACCCATACCCCCCATGAACAGACTCAAAACTGTTCTTCAGAAAGTCTGTGGGTGACGTCACAGACGCTGCATTGATGGAGTAAATGTACAACTCTACAAATGATATCCTTTGTATATTAATGAAAACTTTTTCAAAATTTCTCCAGGTCAATTCACATGAAATTTTCAGCTGATCGAACAACCAAGTGTGATCCCCATGAGGTCTGCATCCAGACAGTGATCATGAACTCTAGCAGTGAAGCTCCATTCACCAACCCCACAGACTGCGCTGAGGTTCAGGTCCCCAGTCAGGTGTTCCTGGCCATCGCCGTTGCCAGTCTGAGCGAGAACCTCTTGGTGATTTTGGCCGTGATCAAAAACAAGAACCTTCACTCTCCCATGTACTGCTTCATCTGCAACCTGGCAGTGTTTAACACCATCTCCAGCTTCTCTAAAGCATTGGAAGACATCCTGCTGTTGTTTAAAGACGCCGGACACCTGAACTCCCGTGGCCCTTTTGAGCTGAAGATAGATGACATCATGGACTCTCTAATCTGCATGTGCTTCCTGGGCTCCATCTTCAGCATACTCGCCATAGCCGTGGATCGATACATCAGCATATTCCACGCTCTACGCTATCACATGCTTATGACCATGCGTCGCGTGATGGTTATTTTGACGGCTATCTGGGTGTTGTGTGGTATCAGCGGAACGCTCATGATCGGTTTCTTCGTGGCCACCACGGTGAAAATCTTCTTCGTTGTGCTCTTCTTCACAGCTCTGTTCCTGATCCTCTTGTTATACGTGCATATGTTTCTGTTAGCGCGCCACCACGCCAACAGGATCGCTTCTATGCCGGGTGCCCAGGCACGTCACAGGCAAAGTGGCTTGAGGGGGGCGCTGACGCTCACCATCTTGATTGGAGTGTTTGTGGCCTGCTGGGCTCCTTTCTTATTTCATCTTCTGATCATGATGATTTGCCCAGAGAACCCCTACTGTGAGTGCTACCGCTCGCTCTTCCAGTTACACGTAGTGCTCCTGGTGAGTCACGCGGTCATTGATCCAGCCATTTACGCTTTCCGTAGCACGGAGCTGCGCAATACCTTCAAGAAAATGTTCCTGTGCTCAGCTTCAAGGATCTGGAAACAGTGTGTCTGAGTGAAGGCCCCGATATGTACTCACGATTCTATTTCCTTCTTCGCTTAGGGGTAAAAAGAAGTTTGAAATACCTTTGCAGCGGAACACTGTTAGCAAACATGCTGAGGCCACACTGCTGGGAGAGGCATTATAGGTGAATATGCGAATGTGTGCTGCACTTTGCTCTCAATAACAACTAAAAAATGACAGCGCTGAGAAAACAGGAGTTAAGAAAGCATCTGATCATATCACGCTCTCCAGCTCGGCACTTAAGTAAAGTCACGTCACATTTGCACTTTGCACATATCAAAATATGTTGTGTCTTTTTTTTTTAAAGGGATAGTTCACTTTTTTGTTATGTTTTAGCTTACCTCAAGGGCATCGAAGATGTAGGTGTCTTTGTTTCCGCAGTATTTTCAATTTTGATATTTTTAAGTCAAACCGTTCTTGTGTCAGTCATGGAGGTCTATGGTCACCACCTCAAAGAGCATGCACAGAGAAGTCCAAATTAAACATGATTTAATGACTCGTAAATGTAAGTACACACTGATGGCCTAAGCCATGAAACGAGTGGTTTGTGTGAGAAAACGAACAGTATTTATATCGTTTTTACCTCTTGTAACCACAGCCACAAAGCGCCCGCACTCTCAAATCACTTGGACGTGGCTGTGGTTTCAAGAGGTAAAAACGATATAAATACTGTTCGTTTTCTCACACAAACGGCTCGTTTCGTGTCTTAGGCCATCAATGTGTACTTACATTTACGAGTCATTAAATCATGTTTATTTTGGACTTCTCTGTGCATGCTCTTTGAGGTGGTGACCATAGACCTGCATTATTAAATTCATCAATTATTCGGCAGATTACCTTTCCATCAGCGTTTATCGCATAAGCCGTATATTGATCAAGATAAAATCTGATGAGACCCAAAGTATTTCATTTCAGTCGATATTCATGAAATTCAATCGAATTGTACTGTTTCCACAAGGCATTTTTTATTCGATATCACTTCATTCGGATAAAAAACATGTGTAAACTACTCTCCGTTTCACACTACTGAAGGAAAAAGTAGAAGAAATTCAATTCACAGGTATTAAAAGATCACAACAACATTTATGTAAAACAAACTACACAACAAGTTTTAATCAATTAACATGAGGTAATGCATTAGGTATCATGAACTATAACAACAATTGAGTTGAATTTGTTAATTGTTTATTAAATTGTTCATAATTTATGCTTGTCCACATAATCTGTGTAAATGTGTAATTGAAGTTGCAATGTTAAAATGTATTATTATAGAATATAGAATCTATATTTAGTAAATTCTGATTTTTTTTAAAATAAATTTTTAGTTAATTTTAATGTGAATGAATTGAACAGTATTGTAAAGTGTAAACAAATCTTTTAAGTGTTTAATACTGAAAAATCTCATATTTGTTCACAAACACAGTGGCTCATTATGTCATTTATCAGATATCATTGCTTAGAAATCATAATACTTAACACATACTGTAAGTTCAAATCTACATATATTGTTAAGAAGAATACCAGCATTTTTTCTTCTGCAGTAAAATTAACAAAATCAGAAGATATTGTTCATATTGTTCAATCAGAAGATCAGAAGAAAATATGTCCACCATTTACATGCATAAATTACATAATCTACAGAGCATTTGCATAACACACTATTTTAAATGGAGTTTTCATGCTTTTTTGAACTTAAGATTTTTTTCTGAAACAATTCAAAGGTAATAAAATGCTGTATTTTTATTTGTGATTTTTAACTCGAGAAAATAATTTTTAGCTTACATGACAAAAAAACAAACAAACAAAAAATATCTTTTCAGTTAATTTACTCTTATAAACAGTGTTTTCTCTCTGCTCTAAATAAGAAATGAAGTGTAGCACAAATATTTTGAACATGTATAGATTTAATTTATAATATTGAGGTGGATTCATTTATTGATAGATGTTTATGGTTTGCCATATACTACAAAAATATTCTCAACATTTTATGATTAAGTACTTCTAAAACAGACATGTTTTATTTGCATTATTGGCCTGGTTTCACTGGCAGGTCTTAGATTAAGCCAGGATTCATTTGTGTTCCGATTCATTTGTGATGAACAAAGGCCTTATACGGGGTTGGAATGACATGAAGGGGAGTAATTAATAACAGAATTTTCATTTTTCATTTGCTTCCTATGAACTAAGGATTAAGCCCTAGTCCAATAATAATTTAACTATAGGGCATTTAAATAGCTTTTATAAACATGCCTTAGAAAAAAAACAAACAAACAAAAAAACATTACTGGTGTGCATTTTGAGACAATACAATGACATTGACATATTTTAAGATAAGTCAGTGCAAGTTGCTTTCAGTTAAAAAAGCTCAGTAATGCATGTTAGTCTTAAAACCGGGGGTTATGTTTTCATTTACTATGATTTTATATGAAGTCTAAATCTAAAAACAAGCACATTTCTACTCTGCATATTAATATTCTAGCCTTTTTGCACAAAACATCACTGCACTGACCTGACGACAGTCCCCTGCTGAGGACAATGTAACTCCTATAAATACACTATATAACAGAAAGGCACATTTTGAACTTCTTAATTCAATATTTTACAACAACACGACATGAAACTTCCACAGTAACATCAAAACATTTCACATGATGTAAGATGACCAAGAAAAATGTGTACAAATGTGTACTGTCCCTAATGAAGATGATCAGGCTTCACTTCCCCTCCCCGTTGCAATTATCCACCAATCCATCTATCTATAAATCCATTCATCCATCAGTCCATCCCGTCAGGTTCAATATTTGCTGACCAGGTTGCAGAAGCTGCGTAGTCCATCAAAGCAGAGGATCTCTTTAAAGGTCTTTCTCATCTCTTGGCTCCTTAACGCATAGATCAGTGGGTCAATCACCGAGTTACACATGATGAGTATCAAGTACATGTTAAAGTGTGACATGAAGCAGATGCAGTAAATGTCCCGTGGGCAGGAGATCATGAGGATGAGATGGAGAAAAAATGGTGCCCAGCACACGATGAAGATTCCCAGTAGTATGGTAAGGGTGACGGCACCCTTCATGCTAGCTCTTTGCCTGATGTTGGCTTTATAGCCCGGCAATGCCGCCATGCGTTTGACATGCGAGCGGGCCAGCAGGAACATGTGGCTGTAGAGTGAGGCCATCATCAGCAGCATGGCAAAGAACATAGCCACCAGGCACACAACCACAGGCTTAGTGTCGGAGTACATGATGAAGATGATCCCACAACTTGTGGAGAAGGTCCAGATGCTGGCGATGAGAATCTTAGCTCGCCGTACGGTCATTATATTATGGTAACGCAGAGCATAGAAGATAGTCACGTAGCGATCCACCGCGATCACTAACAGGCTCAACATAGACGCCACCACAGAAATACAGATTAGAGAATCAAATATGTTGTCCATCTGACGGATGAGGTGATCCTCAATCACCAAACTCCTGTTCGCCAGCAAGTGGATGACTATTGTCTCCCATGCGTTGGAAACGCTAACTAACATGTCGGCCACTGCTAGGCTGCAGACGAAGAAATACATGGGTGAGTGGAGGTTCTTGTTCTTCACGATGGCAAGGATGACCAGGATGTTTTCAAGCAGGCTGATGAGCCCCAATGTGAGGAAGACCTCAGGTGCAATGTGCACCTGCTCACAGGCGGATGAAGTACTTGACTTGGACCTGCTTGACTCATCGCTGTGGTTTGTGTGATTCAAAGAGGCGTTTGGAGAAAGTGTGGGCCACTCTGAGGTATTCATGTTTTGATGTAGTGTCTGGTAACAGGCGATGTTAGATAAAAGACGCTGCATCCATGTACATTTACTGTAAAGGGAAAGAGTTGTTAAAATGTCAAGAAGCATTGTAACCAACATCTGTTGTTTTACTATAAAAATGTTTAAATGATAGAGATAAATTGCAGAATATAAGACCAATCCTGTTGGATCATTTATTTATTTATTAGTCAGAATTTCATTATTTAATTAAGTTATTGGTAACTGTACAGTTGTAAAAAAAAGTACGGGGAAGCTTGTTGACGCTTTGGACGCTTTGAACGCTCTGACGTTGCAGGGAGAATAGAAGTGTCACAACATAAAAGTAATAAACAGAAGAAAAAACAAGCAATGCATAAAGAAACCTTTTATAATGATAGCATTTTTTTAACCGTTTTGGTCACATTTGGTCGGGGGAAAAAATAGTTAGCTATTATTATTATTTGCGGTCAAATTGGTGTCACCATGAGCAAATTAATTGAATTCCCGCTTTAAAATGAGTGTTCGTAAATATTTCAAATAAAAGTTGCGCTATAAGCAAACAATATATGCAAACGTCATGTCATAAATTATAAGAAACCAGTAGGATTCACCGCAACGCGACTATTAGCTCCATAGATATCTATATAAAGGCTAGATATGTCGTCCACGCTGCTGGCCAATGGAGGTCGACGTCTGCACCTGGCGGCCATCTTGTCACAGGTAGCTCGCTCAATCGTAACATTGTGTTAACGGTACATGTACTATTTAAATGACCATAACTTGCTCAATTTTCTACCGATTTTCAAACGGTTTGTTTTGTTATAAACGTCAGAGATGTAGTTATGACACATACTTATGAATAAAAAGTGTATAAATAAATAATCATCCAGATAATTATAGCCACGTTAATAATGTTTGTAAGAAACCAAACCGTTTGTAAATCCGTCAAGATTTCAACGAGATAAGAGTATTTGTGTTCGTGCTGACCACTCATCTTACATCAGCTTGTCTGTGACAAGATGGCCGCCGGTGATGACGATGGAAACTCCGCCGTAACACATAGCCTTTATATACATATCTATGATTAGCTCTTCTTTCTTTTTCTCGGAACTAATGTTTTGGTAGAAACGAAAGTTTATCATTGTATATTTCTCCGGAATCAGTCGGCATGAAGGACGTCTTTATTCTGATTGGTTGCTGGCGTTTTTTTTTTAAATGCTTTATTCAAACATTCAGTTTACAGAGTAAAACAACATAACAACAACAACCGCTGCTGCTTGCCGCTGAACCGTGTCACGGCTCATTACCATAAAGTTGAGCTACTTTCAACTTTCTGATTGACGCTCAAAACGCCCAAAACGCGACGCCGATGGATTTGACGCTCCTTGCAGCGGAGAGAAGCCAGCTTCCATTGAAAATGAATGACTTCCGGCCGCTTTGGAAGCTCAAGTCGGCGGCGGTGTGAACGTACACTAAGTCATTGACAGAATTGATAACACATTTCTTTCTTTATTCGTTCGCAGACCAAACAGCGCTACTGTAACGATCACCAGTGAGAGGATTTACCACCAGAGGGCACTACAACCCAGACATTCCACACACATCCACAGACTCCATTCCTGTCTAGCTACATTCATAGCTTCTCGAGAGGCGTTTCAAAGATGGACGCCGCATGAGGGACTTTGTTCAGTACTTGCACGCTCAAGTTCAAGATGTTTTCATTAGCTTCCTGTTTCCTTTGTTCAGTTTTCCCACTCCTCATTTGTGTTCTTGCTTTCAGCGGTGTGTATTAATTAGCCTCGCTTGTGTTTGCTATATTATAGTTGAACCCTCACACATTCATTCTCTGTTTGGTCATGGTCACATATGAGGTGTCGCATATTGCCTGTTTGGATTAAAATTCGCATTGGAATCACGTACTTCTGAATCTTTGTCTGTCTCTCTCTCTCTCTGTCTGTCTACTACTCACACACCCACTCCCAAATTTGTGTTAACATCCATCACTTCTGACTTTTTTTCTCAGAATTGCAAGAAAAAGAGAGTAATAAAGTTAGAATTGTAAGACACATTATGCATAGGATACACAACACAGCTTGAACATGCAGCGTCTTTATTGACAGCAATGTGTGCTCTAAACGTTGGGAAAAGGAAACATTAAGGCGTTCCTAGGGAACCTGGAAATCCCTCAGATACGCTGGATCAGGCCAATTACTCCTATATTTTTGCACTTACATGACTAGAGGTAATACAATGGAGGTCACATTGGAGTCAAGAACGCTATGAGTGTATCCTGGTGGATGCACTATATGTAGACATGCTTAATGCATTTTTTGCCACAGTTAAGGGTGATGGCAGCCTATACCTCTTGCTCAGGGTTCCTTCATTTAGCATTGATCTGGGTTTTGTAGCAAAAGAATGGGTCTGCAGTTCAAGTGAATTCCAGTCAAATAGAGTAAGGGAACATACTTTTCTCATAATGACAACATGGTTTTAAAATGTGTCTGTATTCCTGATATTTGACTCAAAAATAAACGGTTTTGTAGTTGGGATATTATCAAATGTCATTCTCCCCTCAGCGGTTTAAATGTGAAATGTGTTTGTGGCCTAAAACAGCCATTATCATAAGTGTCTAGAATAAAAAAGGCTTGATCAAACAATCTTTGTGAAGCACAATCAATACTATTATCAATGTCATTGGATTGTAATGGACTGAAAGAGATTGTGTTTAATCAAGGACAAGATTTACATCAATGAAGTATCTCCGTGGAATGAGTCAGCAAGACCTATTCTAGAACGTGCAGTATGAGAATACTGAACGTGATCTATCAGAAAGTCACTACAAAGAAACGCCTGAATAAGATGATTGTGATATTCACTTTATGCACGAAGGTTTGTGAAAAGTGAACCAAACTGAAATGAAAATGAACAAGATACAAGAACAAGACTTTTTTAAAACAAGAAATGCAAAGAGTGCTACTCGGGTAAAAATCCCAGTGCTCTTTAGATATGGGATAGTTCAACTCCTTAAGAAACCGTTGTGAACGTTATTCTTCTAAAGTGTAGGAAACCAGGAGACTTCGTGGTATCTTCAGTAGGATACTTTATTGAGAACACAAGCTACTGGTAGCTGCAATCATTGTCAAGTCTAAACTAAGGGAACGTTCCCTTGCAATCTATATACATTTAGAGGCGGTGATTTACATTGTGATGAGACATTATTGAATAAAGCATGTAAATGAAGAGAATTAGAATCTTGTCCTAGACTGAGAGTGATACCAACTATTCAAACTGAGCCAGGGGCTCCCAGAGCCAAATCTTATTTATTTAACTTACAATAGAGAGACCAGGACTGTCAGAATCTCTTGCTATAAACTCTGATTTAATATTTGTTTATACATCAAATGCTAAATTCAGTCTACTAAACTTTCTCAGTTAATTTGTTTTTAATTTAATTTTCTTAATAAATTTGTAAAACTACAAAACACATAAGGCACTTAGGATTAATAAAATGTAAAAAGTCTTTTATTTACTCATGGCATTATAATCTCTTTTTTTAAACAATCAAGTGCAACTGAGTGTACAGTGTTTCTTAATAAGATTTGTTATTATTACCATAAGCTATACTGAACTGATGTTTTTTTTTCTTGTGTGTTGTTCTGAGCATCTTGTCATGTCTTTTCATTAAAATCCTCTTCTTGAAATTAAGCTTCTTTTAATCTCCTCAGAATACATGTTGTTTTTCATCTTTTTATCCATGAAATGACAGTTAATTGGGCTCAAAAAAGTGGGTGAATCAAGGCAGATTCCATAGTCGACAGTGTCGCTACAAGTGACATATCGATTGAGTGCTTTGGTGGTATTAAAAATCCTTACACACACACACACACACACACACACACACACACACACACACACACACACACACACACACACACACACACACGTGAGACATAAAATTTAAATCATCCATCTCACAACCATCTCTGACCCTAGATGTCCTAGATGTGACACTGAACACTAGATCAGAAGGTCATATAATTTGTGGAGCTTTTTATGATAAACTGACTCATTGTGAGCAGCACTCATCAATCAGAAAGAGAGCACATTCATAAAAATATGAAAAATACACAGAAACAAACATCATATACAACTACACAGAAGCACACAGTCAAATAAATGTAACTTTATAGGCCTATATATATATATATAGCCTTTATTAATATAAATATATTAAACACACAAATTGGTTGTCAATTTAATACATCAGATGGAACAAGACTGTCTTGACCTTTTAATTTAACTAAGACATTACTCACAAGCCCTGTGACAGAACATCAATATTCAGGAGATGGTCTGCCTCTGTATTCAATAAAGTGGATTTGATCTAATACTAAGTGGATTTGTCAGACAGATCTGAATATTAAAATGCTTATAATGCTCTTTGACAGCGGATTTGGATTATAAAAAGTTGCCCCTTGGTGGGTGGTTACATCTCGAAAAGGATTTAAGTGGTGTTATAAATCACAATCTGCTGTGGCCCGATGACATAATTCTGACAAGCAGGTGTGCAGCTCAAATACCTACAGAGTAACACCTCAGGACATCAGGGGCGATTCTAGGATTTTTTCAACTGGGGGGCACAAGAGGGGCCACAATTATTACAGAGGGGCCATTCTTATGTTGTGTATTTATGTAGAACTATAGATATCCAAATCATTTCAAGTTCAGTAAGCTTTAAAATCAGCAATAAACAGTGATACCCTGTTATCTTTTAATAGCAGTTATTTACTGCTCTAAATCAAAACAATAAAATACAATTTATATTAACTTTTCACTTTACAAAAGTGATAGAAAAACTGTAATAAATAAAATAATCCAATGTATTAGTGTCCAACTCACAAATAATAATAGAACAGCCTTATTTATATAAATGCATAATTATATTAATCATTCATATAATAAATACACAATTAATGAATTCATAAAACTGTAATAAAATTGTATACATCTTTTTCTCCACATCCTATTCAATTTGCATTTCAGCAGTTGCAGTAAATTTGCATTGATGAATAGACCAAATCTGCTTATTTCGAGGAAGGCTAATTAGTCTTGAGCATATTGATTGTAAAATATGACATATAATACTTTGTTAGATAGCTACTTTTTTCAAAAAGGTATGATTTAGTTTAATGTAATATATGTGGATCATAGAAACAGTGACGTAATTATCCAGTAGTATTAATTATTTATTTTGCTATTTAATCATGCATTTTTATTTAATTATCTTTTTTATATTTTTTTTATTTGAGAATGTTTCTGGATGCAGGGATTAAATTAAAAAAATTCTTTTGACTGATTTTTTTTTTTTTTTAGGCCAAGTCATATTCCTGTAACTTTATTTAAATAGTCGAGACCAATAGCGTTTTAAGGAGAGATGTTTTAAACCGATCTAATATTGCCAGTTTGCGTAATTTAAAAGCTATTTTAATCTATGAGAAACAATTACTTATCTTGACAAATAGGCCTAATCAACCATCTACATAACTTTTCAGTGCATGTTTTTATTTATCTTATAAGACCAAACAATGCTAACTGGCTGAGGGAAAAGTGAAGTTTCATAACTTTATATATTTAACTGGCTATTTAACTTTAACTTTGTATCCCATTAGAGAGCTGACTTATGTTTAACTGAATTGTTTACTTTATTTATCATTGATTGTATAGCTTATTATAGCCTACCTATTAGGCTACTTATACTTTTGAATGGGATATTATCATTAAAACTGACATTTAACAAAAGAGACAGGGTTGTGTAATTTTATATATTCTAAAATATATAAAATATTCTTTATATGTGTATGTTTTTACTATTCTCTTCACTGTGTGTAATACAATAAAACGATACATGTCTGTTTGTTAAATGTCAGTTTTAATGATCAATAATGTTTCACATTTTAAAAATGAAAACAAAAAGAAGCAGGGTTGTGTTTTATATTTCGTGTTATAAATATATGCAGTGAAGATAGTCAATGTGAGTAGGCTACCTGAACCACATTTTTGTGGCCATTAATCTGTTCATGATAATATGTCCATTTATAAATTAAATGAGGCAGAGTGCTGTTTTATATGTATTTCGTTTTATTGTTGATGAAAAGAAGCAAAGTTGTGTTTTATACCATATAAGAGATAACCGGAGTAGCCGCGTGCTGAGTGACGCGATCGAGAACGCGCTATTCCATTAGCAGAATGACGGACTCGCGTCCTCTCGTCCTCGGGAGTTCGTTCTCCGAAGTTTGCGTTCTTGGTATTGAGAAACGACCAATATTGACCCGCGTTCTGTTTTCTATCATACGACCGCAGCAAACGAGCGAGCAGTAGCCTGACATGCACTTCTCAAAATCTAAGACTAATTGAGTGAACATGAAGCAGTTTTTCCTTGAGCGGGAATTGAAAAACCGGAGTGGACCATGAGCGAAGTGATTACAGAATGCTTAGAGTGGAGAGAGGAACGTGCTTTCGCTCCACTCCAGGCTTTATCACATCCCCCCTCAGCAGGGTGAATACACATCGTCTTTCCTTAAAAAATAATAAGCTGTATAAAATATATCAACTTACCGTGTGGTTTTGAGAAGCATCGCGCGACGCGGAATCATGAATTATTCTACTACAAGCTGAAAGATTATGATTTGAATTTTTGAGTGACAGACAATTAGAAGGGTGGGGGCACACTGGGGGGCCAATCAGTTTTCAGGAGGGGCCAGTGCCCCCATGGCCCCTCCCCTGGCTACGCCACTGCAGGACATACACCATTTCATGACATTCATGACATTTCAGAATGATTTGCACAGAATTTGTGTACAGCAAAATTAAGTATTGGCTATGGTCTATTGTTCATTTAATTAAGGCTCATTTAGTTTCTGAGAATGTTTATAACACCTGCATCACACTATAGTCTAGGCTATATTTAATCTGCTTCTGAGGTGAGAAATACCATGTAATGTGGGATAAAAATAAAGCAAAACATAGGCTAATACCAACAAAAGTTGCAGCAATAACAATAATAATGGTCGATGTCAAATTATATAAATAAAACAACAAGTGGAAACGATCAAATAATGACTAAAAAGGCTAGTATATTACAATTAGTAATGATACTTCCAAAAAAAGAATAAGAAAACGTACTCACGTTGCCAAGTGTCGCCGGAGATGGTTTATAGCATGTTTAGAAGGTGAATGATCTAATGCAAGAGCTGTGTGATCTATGATGACTGTTGTAGAATCTCTCAGCGCGCGCTCATATAGTACAACGCGCGCTCCACCCCCGCGCGGAGTCGTGCTCCGTCCTGGGCAGCGATGCTGGTTTCAGTAATGACGAGCATCCTAAATCTTGACCTAAGCGATATTTATTCATGTCAATACTCAACAAATACGATACCAAAATAAACCAGCGTAGGCTACAGTACAACCAAAAAAAGTACAATAATGTTCGTTATCATTTTCAGTACATGATGTTGGCAGTTTTAAAACAAACACTGGTAGGCCTATGAAGGCAATTTGATTGATGGGATTGTTTGAACGTCTGAATGGCAGCGCCGGAACACATGGGCACTTCCGGTCTCCTTAGAAAGTTGAGCAGATATCCAGAACTTATTATCGGAGCTCAGTCGAGCTTATCGAAACTCAAAACAGGAAAAGGAACTTCAGAGGAGCTGATTAAAGAGAAAAGCAGATGGAAGCTGCTGTTTTTCTGTGTGAAGAAAAACATGTAAATCAACACCTCACCTGGCACTTTCCACTAAAGTTACTGGGTTACTGGAGTTCCAATTATTTTCAAAGTGTTAGAGGCCTAAATTTAATATTGTATGTAGCCTACTTTTAGATATAACTAGAACTAGATACAGAACAATATATGTACATACACTAGTACAATTAATATAGCTATTTTCATCTTGATAATGTAAAAAAATTAGGCCTGGGCAATCGCGATTAATCATATCCAAAGTAAAAGTTTGTGTTTACATAATATAGCCTATGTGTGTGTAGTGTGTATAATTATTTTGTATAAATACACACACATGCATGTATATAGGAGAAAAAGGTCAAAGGCTACAGAAAAAAGAGACTTCCGATATTACAAAGATAATATCGGAAGGGCATCAAATGTCGACACGCGATGCTGATGTTAACATTAACAATTTGAGAACAAAGTGGTTTGACGTGATATGATAAGCGACCGTTAGATTTAAGCGCGATTTACTGCAATGCTTTTTTTCCCCTTAGTTGGTCAGAACAAACGTGGATGTTACTTGTTCAGATGACATTTTCCGGTGAAAATTCTTATGTTGGTCATCCTTCCAACAAGTATAATCTGTGATTCCGAATGACAGTATCCACACCGGCGCGGTGACTGACAGCCACACATTTTCCTCAAAACATTGGATTCATCCGTATTGGTTATTTTGCAAACAACTGCAATTGCAGATTTCGAAAAGAGATGGTGACAAACTATGGAAAAACTACAGACTGCAGCTTTAACTGTTGTTGTCATTAAAGCAAAAGGGTCTAATAAACAGAACAAGTAGTGTATATAATAATTATAATCATCATCAAAAAAATTTACAATAATCACATTACACATTTTTTAGCATTCAAAGGTAACTTTTGGCTCTCTAGTGGGCTAAAAAACAAAACTGAATGCATTTTGTATGAAGAACATATTTTTTGGATGTGCTTCGGCTCTGCTTGACTGTGCAGATTAATATGGTTATCCTGTGCTCATAAAATATTCGCTACACTCAGAAACAAAATCCGTAAAAATAGGGCACAATGTGCTGTATAAATTTGATGAAATTTTCTGTATTCATTTTTTTTTACAGGTGTTTTACCTGTATTTTGAATTTAGAACTTCATTCGATGTGTTTTAGGGTTAACAGAAATTTCCGTACAATTATTGGCTGATGTTCGAGTAATAAGCTGTATAGGCTTATATATAACCAGTTTAGATGGAAAGGATCTCAAGCTTACTAGATGAATAATTTATATATAGCCATAGACATCCTGGAACTTTTCAACCTCTCTTGCTATGACAAGACTCCCACAACTCCCAGTCCCAACTCCCAACTCCCACAGTACATAGTGTTTTATTGTTATTAGCAAAACAACTAGTAGTTAGTTGTCTTAGACTTATAGTATTAATAATGATGATAATGGAAAAGAAAGAAAGAAAGAAAGATGATGATGAAAATAGGAAAAACTGAATTTTCACAACATTTTAGCTTTGACAGGTTCTGACCTAGATTGACATGCATCTGATGAAACAACATTTAGCATTTTCTCAGGTTTGCAAAAGCTCTGTGTGTACACACTGCGCCTTCGACTTTGCCACTATAGTAAGATCAGACTTAGCAGTCTTTGTCAATGCACTTAAAAGAAAGCCAAAGTTCTGAGTGTCTATATCCCAGTAGGAAGGCTTCTTGTTTCAAGGTTTCCTCTTTGACAACCAATCAGCACTAAAGAGATATGCACACACAGTGTAATGAGAACTGATTGGAATTTAGTTCTTCAAACAGTCACTATTGATGCATTGAGTCATGTATATATTGAGATTTCATGTATAAACTCTGGCGAAAAGCAGTGCATATTTATTGATATGAAGTGCTTCCTCACATTTAAATTGAATAGATTTTCAGTTATACTTTAATATAAATGACCATTTGTTTGTATACTTATTCTTATTTATTTCATATTGCCTTCTACACTTAGATAATATATGATTTATTCATATGACATTTTAAAAAAGGTGACCCCTTTGAAGTGATCACCCACTTAGTGACCCTATTCATTCACATAAGAATGTTTTAATCTGGTCATATCCTCATACGTTAACCTAGCAGTGAGTCTCTTCATGTCTGGTTTCACACTACTGGTCATGAGATATTGGTCATGAGATTTGATTTGAGGCACCCAGGATAAGAAAGTACCAGAATGCTGCTCAGCATTTGAACATCCATGTGGATGTTTAGCCTGTTACTTTAAAGTCAAACTAAATGTATGATGACATTTACTGAAATTGGCATTATCTTGATTTTCTGTTTCCACGGTTTAACTAATCTTATTTTTCCCCCCCAATTTAGCTTAATTGGATCTGGAGCCTTCTGTCTTAGGCTATGTTTACATGGAAACGATCTGAAGAGAAAACGCAAAAGTGGCATTGTGTTATCACTTTTATTCTGAGTTTAGACGAGCGTTTTGGGTTGGAAAACCGTGTGCATATGTTGACGCAAAAGTGTGTGAAATTCGATGTAGTATGCACTCCAGACGGCTAGGTGGCAATGTGAAGCACTGCCACACAACAACACCAAGTCTGCGTGCCTGCGTACAACCTTTAGTGTTTACGCGACGGTTTAGCGTTTTTTAGATTTTAACTCTGGAGGGTGGTTTCACTTTTTTGCGTTTTTAAGCCCCAAAAATGCCGTCACAGTGTAAACGAAAGGCACATCCGATACGTTTTCTTGCTATGATACAGAATATCCGCAGCACAGTGTACCTGTAACTGATTTCGCAGATAATTTGTTTCATACTAAAAATTAAATTTTCATCCATTTTGTTCTTTTAGCTCTGCAGGTTGATGTCATTGTACAAAAAGAATGATTTGACAGTTGGTAGTTGCAGTATTTGTCCCGCCCCTCCTACACTGTGATTGGGTGGCTGGGTAAAAAGTGACATCGGTGAGTGCTGCGTTTTACCCAAAGTTGAACTTTCTTCAACTCTTGGTGACTTGTAAAATGCTAAGCTCTCAGCGTTTCAGGGTGAAAAAAAAGTTAGGCTCCTTGTTAGGCTCATGACCGCATTTTCATGTTCTAAAAATGTGGCGCTCCTATTAAAAACAATTGAAAACATAGGCCAGGCACGTGGAAAAACGCTTTGGTGGACACACAGCCTAAGTGCAATCTTCCAATGTTCTTTGAATGGGTGGAGTCAGGGCCCGCGTTTTAGGAAAGAAGGTTGGAGTTGTGTAGTTTCAAAATCTGCCAGCCGTTTTGCAAATCCCATACCCTATACCTTTAACTGAAAAGATGACAAGAAGATTGTTTTAATAATCTTAGTTACATAACAACAAAAATCAAAGGAAGATTAGAGCCAGTGAAAGAGTAAAGGGCCATGAAGGATATAATTATGTAATGTCGTTACATTGCTGCTATTAGGCTTTACCAATATCCACAAATGATTACTAATTGCTTCTCAGTGCCTCTCTAGGAAATCAACAACTTAAAAAAAAAAAAAACTATAATAAAATAATGAAATAAAGTAGATTCCAATTTACCTGCCCTGTTCTGTACTTTATGTGCATTTGCACAGAGGACATCAAAAGAAATAAAAACATTAGTCACTGATATACAACACAACACCCAGAGGAACAGACACATTCCTCACACTTTCTGTGTGGCAAACTCCACACAGAAAGTCTTTCTGACTCTGCTAGGATTCGAACCGTAGACGACCTTCTTTCTTGATGTGAAACTCGTTGCTCTATTCTGCATTTCTGCTACTTCAGCTAATGGAAAACAGAGAACTACAAGCCTGATTAACGTCGGTCCATCTAGTGGAGAAAAACGTAATTGCAGCATCATACATCATTTACCACGTCATTCACTATTTACCAGGGAAACGGTGGAAAAAATACCTGATATATAATCCAGTAGACATAATGGATTAGAGAATGATCGAAATTATAAATAGAAATGTTCGTATAAGAACGATAGATACAAATAACTTATTGTAGATATAACGGAGTCTAGAGTATTTAGAGTAGCCTAAATTAATTAACAAATAAAATATATCTAATTTCTTTAATTTGTATTGTTACATTTTTAAAGCTTTATTTATATTGAAACGACTTACGATTCAAAAGATGGAAAATAGATACAAAATAATAAACGACAATCGATATTAATAAACGATATTATTATTATAATAACAACAACAGCAAGAATACATTTTAAAAATAAAATAATAATAAGTGATAATAATGATAATAAAAATGTTTAAAATAAAAATAAAATGATAAAAAATGATAATAAAAACCTGGGCTATAAAAGTCTAAGCACCATCACTAATTCCGAGACAAGTACAAAAGCGCTTTGGGTTTTAGAAAAGAGCATTAAATAAAATGTATTATTATTATTATTATTATTATTATTATTAATAATAAAAGTCTCAGTCAAGGTCAAAGCTAACCTACGCAGAGCGATCATGTGCTTACCCTCAAACTACATGTCCCATGATGCCGCGCGCAGCAGCTCCATGTGGAAATGTCTGGAGAACGTGCGAGTACATGACACAAGTCTGTTGAGGAATGGAGCTTTGCGCGGACTCTCCATAAACTCACAGCAGACCTTCAAGAGGTGAATGTAAGTTGCCATTCTGTTTCCATAACTATTTCTTCCAGCTGATATATTTAGTTTTGTTTGAGCGGTTCTAGGTGTGTGTATTTGATCCTGTTGGAGTGGCAAAGCAGTGTGTTGAAGTTAAGATCAGGGCCCTGTTGACTTGACAAGCTCTAAGTTAGTGTTTTTACTTCTGCAAACGTCTAACTTTCTTCCTAAACAACCCCCCAATGTCATATGTCGAAGACTAACAAAATAGTGATCATGCTTGTAGTAGTTCTGGGCAAACTGATGTTACTTCATAAAAACAACATGTCAGGAATTGAACCCTAAACCTTTAGTCAGTGAATTAAATGTTTTGACACTTTTTTTGACAGAGTAAATATCTGTATTTATAATGCTATTAAGCTAAACAAAGCACAACTATAGTTCATCAGCTAAGATGCTTGCTTGGTCTTTTACTTAGAAGGTAGGAAACATGTTAGTTGTGTTTAGCCTTGTAACGTTACATATAAAAACACTGAAGAAAGTTTAAGGGAATATTCTCCCTACTGCAAAAATGATAAGCTGGTAATTAGTCAAGTTTAGCTGACTGGTTAAAACTAACCTTGTTAATCTTTGGAATTACAGTACTTTGTCTTTAACCTTATCCGTCTGGTGGTTGACAGGGAGCCATGACCCAAACCTCTGACCAATAGCATGTGTTCTTCATGCTCAGCCTGTGTGGCCTTTGAATCATTACTCATGACTAAATAGATCATGGATAGTTAAGTAAGTTTAAAATTTCCAATAACATTTTAAGTTGCATTACATTAACCTAAACCAGAGTCAGCATAGTATACTTGTTTTTGGAAGTCATATTACATAATGTTTTTATCTTCTTCAAAGTAGCCACACCTACTGTAGTAGATGTAGTATTGAAGACACTCCTATGTATCCCTGGCACTAGTTAGCTGTATATAGTGTAATTAATATCAAGGCCGACTCATACATAAAACTTTATTATATAATCATTACATTTTATTTAAGTGTGACCACATTTTTTGACTGCTACTGTAATAGTTTGTAATTGTTGTATGACACTAACCTCTTTAGCCTGTCCAGGACCTGTAGGTGGCGCTCTGTTGGTGGGGGAGGTTATGATGTGGGCTCCAGTCGCACTGCGGCGTGTGGTCCTGCTGCGCTCGGCATACCTGGGTCACACCCGGGCTGTGTGGGAGCTTCCTGTGACCGTCCGGACCTCACGCTGCTTCAGTTGCACTAATGTCATCAGGACGAAGGAAGCCCCCAAAACGTCCACAGAGGAAGAAACGCCATTAAACCCTCCACAAAGTCTAGCTGGGACTGAGGGTCTTTTTAAGGGTGATACGGAGTCTGGCCTTCAGAGTAAGGGTGATGTCGACCCTCTGCAGGACAAATCTATTGGGCTCTTCCAGAGATTTAAAAAGACATTTAAACAGTATGGTAAAGTCATGGTGCCTGTGCACGTCGTCACATCCACAGTGTGGTTTGGGAGCTTCTATTATGCTGCAATGAAGTAAGTGACCAGCATCCTGCACAGAAACGCACCTGCATTAGTAAAACTAACAAGATGACAAGTGCCACGCTTCCATTTTCAGATGCTCTGTCTGTACTGAACGTGCTTTTTTTGGCATTGACTATAAAATTAACGGATTTAAGACTATTTATGTATTACATTTAGTTTTGTCTTTGGGTTTTACAAAGGCAACATTTTGTTAAATATTTTCACGCAATGACTGATTAATTAAAATAATACACTATTTTGTAGGGCTGTCAAACAATTAATCGCATCCAAAATAAAAGTTTGTGTTTACAAAATATATGTGGGTACACTGTGTATAATTATTTTATATATATGAATACACACACATGCTTGTATACATTTAAGAATTAGATTTATATATAATTTATATTATATAAATAAGATTTTTTTCTTAAATATACATGCATGCGTGTGTTTATATATATATATATATATATATATATATATATATACAAAATAGTGCACCCACATATATTATCTAAACACAAACTTTTATTTTGGTTGCGATTAATCGTGATTAATCGTTTGACAGCCCTACTATTTTGTCTAAATAAAAGAAAAGAAAAGGAAAACACTAAAATCATTTTAAATGCTGTCGCTGAATATAGGCATCACAATATTATACAGTATGAAAAATGGATATTAATTTATTGATTTGTTAAATATTACATTTAAAGTGTTATTAAATTATTAGTGTTTTTAAAGAGTTCATTTAAAGTGAATTTTAGTTGACAGCAAAGGTCATTTAAATGTAGAAAAAAGCATGTACAATTAAAATGAATTTAGAAATTAAACTAAAAGCTGATAATTAATATGGTTCCGATATAATATATGTGCTTCACTAATTAATGTAGCTTTTTTATGATGTATTTATATATGTAAATGAGCTCATTATGTATGTTGACTTTAGTAAACTACATGAATTGAGGTGATTTTGCTTTAAAGATGAAAACATACAGACTAAGCGGCCAGACTTTAAGGTGAGGCTGGCAGGGAGATTGAGTTTTACCAGATAAAGTCTGTTTACAATGTGGACAATCAATACTTTGAGGTAACAAAAGCAAACAATCTCTCTAGTAAATATAAATGAGTGGATGTTAATGTTCCGCAGAGGGGTGAATCTGATCCCGTTTCTGGAGTTCATCGGTTTACCGGATTGGATGGTGGGAATTTTGAGAGATTCCCAGGGTGGCCTTGCACTCACAGCATATGCCATGTATAAGGTATATAAACAAAATCTTAAGATTATTTGACAATGACATGGATTTCAATTATGTATATGATTTATGGTTAATGTTATTTTGTCGCTTTGTCTATCTGGTCACAGCTCGCTACTCCTGCCCGATACACTGTTACACTGGGCGGAACGTCCCTGTCTGTGCAGTACCTCCGCAAACACGGATACCTCTCAACCCCTCCGCCTGTTAAAGGGTACCTGCAGGACAAAATGGAGGAGACCAGGGAACTACTGACTGAAAAAATGGAGGAGACGAAAGAGAGGTTTTCAGAGAAGATGGAGGAAACCAAAGAACTGCTCTCAGAACGAATGGAGGGGACTAAAGGGCGCATCTCTGAGACGAAAGACAAATTTTCGGAGAAACTGCAGGAGACAAAAGACAAAATGTCTTTCCGCAAGAAAGCCGAGTAGGCTGCTTGGCATGCCGTGGTCCAATCAAGCTGCCAAGGGAAGAGAATAATTTCTAAAACCTAAGTGTATTGAGGAATGTTTCACAATGTCACAAAGTGTTTGGTGTTTACTTAAAGGTACAGTGCAACAAAAATGGCTGACTGTCTTCTGCATAACACAAAAATGTTTGGGGAAAAAAACTCTTTGAGCCAATTGATTTTCATTGTATTGACAAAAAAAAAATGTTTATATAGGTTTGGAACAATATGAGGGTGAGTAAATGATGACAGAATTTTCATTTTTTGGTGAACTATGAATGTTCGCACTCAAGAACTGTTATCATGTCAAATGGTTTCCATGCACTTGAATTTACAAGTTGAGTGCTTTGGAGAGAAACAAACTTGAATTAGCAGTATAGTACCGAATTAAGCCAAAATCATATTAAGAGTGTTTGTGTGTTTCTTTTAGTTGAATTGTTTTAATGTAAGACTATTGAAAATATTTCTACTTAATCAAGTGATAAATAATATCTATATTCAATGATTTTCATTGATTTATCATGTTTGTATTTGAGTTTTTGTGCATATTGCCTACTATGCACAAAGTAATTTAGTAATTTAGACTACGCAATGTCTTGATCTAGTGTCTGGATTGCATACTGTAAAAAGTCAGTGGGTAAAAAAGACAATTGATAACCCACTTTGTTCCTCTTTTTACTTTTATCAGAAAAATTACTTGAATGAAGGGTTTTTTTCACCTCAAACATGCCAATGTCCATTGAGAGAATAATAAAATTGATAATATGATAACATGTTCAGGATATTATTTCAATTAAAAAAACCTAAGTATCAGACACGTCAGCAACTGGTACTTTTAGTTTATTAGTTTAACTGCAGTTGGACAACAGCAGAAGTACAAGCATAAAAGTTTGACTATAACAGTGATTAGAGCAACATGTTTTGATTACTTATTCTGAAAATAAAAGAAGCATTACAATAACAGACCTTATGCTTAAAACCTATTAATTACAACACAATGATGTAAGTAAAATAAATATCTATGTGCATGTTTATAAAATGTCCACGCACATGAACATACGAAGCATCATGAGCAGGGGGGGAATTTATAGAATATAAAAAGGTCTGGTATTGTGCCGATTTTTACTTCTGAATGTCTGTTATCAGACACTCGATAAGCAACAGAGTAAAACAAGTCTAACCCATTTCAGTTATTGTTAGTTCTCTGTGCTTGTGCAAGAAAGAAAAGCATCTTGTTACATTGCTCAAAAGGTCACAACTGCTGTTAGTCAGGTGCTTGTAGTCAAAATGGCGTCGCTATGTACATTATCTTCAGGTATATAACTATAGACATGCGAATACAAGCTACTGTACAGTGGAGCACCAGCACATAAATATTTGCAATTTAAAATCTTTTTTTTTTTTTTGCTCCTATACACTACATACACAAGAATGTCTGAAATACAGTATATAACAAAAATAAGAATGTTAAAACTACATCTCTCATTTGGTTCATTATTAAAACTTGCAAATACAGGAAGCACAACACAGGGTGGCATGAAAAATCATGTACATGTTGGGCTTAAAATGAACACTGTTGTTTTAAGCAAGACTGTCATATCACAATCCCTCAGAATTTGAGTCTGGCACTGCTAACTAGTTTCCATTCACTGGATCCCGATTTATGACTTAGGTTAGAATGGGTTTTCTGATTAAGAACCTAGTCAAATAAATCATTTTGCATGTGTGTAAGTGTGCCTTTTGTAGTTGGGGCAGTGTTTAAAGAAACATTCTAATCCAGAACAGCATTTTCATTCTTTCTGTAGAAAGATGTTACTCAATAATAGAGCCCGACCGATAAAGGATTTTGAAGGCCGGTACCGATACAAATATTTGTTGGCTTTAAAATCCGATATATCGGCCGATATTTTTTTATTTATTTATTCAGAAACGCGTAGCAAAACATTAACAGATTTCCCTAACATTAGTTATTTGTAGTTATGTATGAGTTTTAACTAAAATAATGTGATGATGCATTTTAAAAAGAAACTTGTTTCTTTTATTGTCGCAACAGAACAGAGGAACCAAAGCTCATTAATGTTAACGTTAGGGGTCTTCCACTGATGATAGTGGCATTAGCTAGCTTTGTGGTTAGCAGGGACGGTGTAGAGTGCCCTCGGGTGGACAAACGATTCAACTATAAAACTATTTATCGGCCATTATAACCAGTGTTGGGAGTAACGCATTACAAAAGTAATACATTACAGTAACATATTACTTTTTGCTGTAACGCAGTAGTGTAAGGCATTACTAATCAATTTTCAGTAATATTTTACTCGTTACATGTTCAATGAGGCTTGTATTACAGTTGTATTACAGTGTATTGTCTGCTTTTACTTCTTAAAGGCAACAGACTATGTGAAAGTTTTAAAGCAGTCTTTTAGTGCCAGTTCAGAGCGGTCGCGTCTGTAACATTGTTTTTTCCTCATAAATGCGAACACGAAAACTAAAATAAAATGAATATTTTAAGTTCTATGGAGACTGGAGAGCCAACCCTTCCTCATCCGATTTGCGCAGTGTAATTAACAGAATTACAAAAAATCGATTTTGCCTCCTATTTTTTTGTCACGCATGAATGTGTGTCTTTTCCCTAATATTAAAAAATAAAACATAGACTGATATTTGTCTAATGTCTGGAGTCCTTTGAGAAAGTAGCCTATACGTTTTAATACATGTATTTTTTGAGAATTTTTATTTCAAGTTTTGACTGCAAATGTCATGTCCATAATGCTCCTTAACTAGTTTTGTGGTGTAGGTCTACGTATTTTATAATGTTAACTTCAAATAATACTAAAAGCATAATTTAAAGATAAGGCAGCATTGGATCTGGACAGTAAGGAGAATAACGCTGGAGTTGGAAGAGGTTTGTCGCGATTCTGTTCATGGATCTGAGTCGTGTGGCGAATCGCAATTCCGGTTTCATATTGCATATCGTTACAGCCCCAAAGTTGTTCTACTTAGTTATTTTGGTGAAAGTAACTCAAAAGTAATACATGAGTAATGTAACGCATTACAATTCTGAGACAGTAATATTGTAAGGTAATGAATTACTTTAAAATAACAGTAACAAGTAATACCTAATGTATTACAGTTTGGAAGTAACTTGCACAACACTGATTATAACTGCCGATACCGATAGTTTGGAAAATATCGGCCGATAATATCGGTCTGCCGATATATCGGTCTGGCTCAATAAAAATCTATGAAATGTTCTGTAGTTTAGTATTTTCATTAAGCATCGTTCTGAAAATGAATGTTCTTGTTCGCCAAAAAATAAAATTAAATAAAAAAAAAGCACATTTGAACTGTAGGCATTTACAAATCCATTGCCATCATGTTAAAATCTTTATATCAACTATAAATTGTTACATTATTAACAATGTCTTTTTTTCTGTGGTTTCTACCCATTGGGTAGGATATGTGCATACAGACTAACTTTATTTACAGCACTTTACAAAAAAAAAAAAAAAAAAAAACACACAGAAGAAAGCACCATTGGAAGTGAGGCACAGCTAAGGTGGGAACTTTTAGAGTGCAAGTGGGTTCCTACGTCGCTCAAAAACAACACGATCGATAGGCACCGATTCAGCTTGTGAGTAACATGCAAACTCCTTGGACAGTAGAAAACGGCACAAAGCTCTTCCTTTGAGATGGAAACAAATTGTGGAGGACAAAGGGAAGTATTTACCAGGATGGTGCGAGGATGGATGATGGACAGACAGGCAAAACAAAAAAGTGCAGCAGATGAGAAGCAGCATAGCAGCAGCAGCGGCGGCGGGAGCAGCAAACTGACTAATGAAATGGTTGAAGACAGACAGTGAAAAGATTAGAGGGACGGGAAACAGGGAAAAAGCTCTTAAATAGCATACAGTTTGGAATGCAGTGACATTGTGCTCTCGTGTTGCTCTTTGTAGCCTTGGTTAATCTTCCCAGATGAACTGAGAGAAATATCTCCCTCTGACTCTGCAATGTTGTGAGCTTTTAAAGCATGTGCTTGAAAGACATGAGCATATATACACCATTCAAACGACTCTACAATTATACACTGAGCTTAGCTGTTGGAATTTAGCCATTCGCATTTGGGACTTTCTGGGATTCTAGAATAATAATTTAAAAATTCTGGGATTATTACATTTAAATTGGCTAGAAATCCAGAAGCTTTTTCGAGCCTTTAAAAAAAAAAAAAAAAAAAAAAAAATCACCACACTTTTACCATTTTTTTTACTTCATAGCAAATGAACTAGCTTTTATTTAGCTGAACCGTCTGACTTTGTGAAATATCTCAAACAACTTTTTTTTTTAAATTAATACTATTTTGTTTCTCAGGTTTTCCAAATCGAGGAAACAAATATGGAATCATCTTGTAATTTGCATTTCTGAAACATATACTGTTAAAGTTTTTGTTCAGGAAAAAAAAAAAAAAATCAGTATCATATAAGTCAAAAAAGAAGCAACAAAATACTAAGTGTGTTTTTGTTGAGAATTCCATAATTTTCCCTCAATCTGATATGGAAAACAATATGCAATTAATAATAAAAAAACTGTAATGGAACCACAATGTTCAGCTATTAAACAGACATTGTTTTGTGTCATATCTGTGATTAGTTGATTTGCTATAAAGCAAAAAAAAAGTGGTTGATCCCCGCGGCGCTACCATTGGGCCCTATCCGGGCCCTCACATTTTGACCTCATTTTGTGCGTAGTGGTGAGCGATGTGTATTGTCTATTATGCTATTGTAACCATCATTTTAACAATGTACGAGGCACTGTGAGGTGACATCGCTGTCTCTCGTGCTTTCACGGCATGATGTGTGCAGTTATAGGTAGCCTTTGTCCCCAAATTATTTTTAACTCATATTCCTATGTTGTTATCATGCAATACCACATCAGCAAGAGGGCCATTTTCCCGTCTACAATAGCAAATATGATATTTAGTTTATAAAACAGTTAACTTAATTTCTTCGGGTCTTAAAAAGCCTTAAATTTGAATTTAACTTAAAAACCCTCATGAATGACGTTGGCGCGCAAGCTATTAAAAATTAAACGCAAAGCAAAGCAGCTCGTTTTCATTTAGATTCAGCAAGAAACGCTCTGAGGAGCAGGACCCGCTGCGACACAATAGCCGCGTTTCCACTGCCGGGCCAGGGCCGGGCCGTGCTAGTGCGTGCCAGGGCCAGTCGCGTTTCCACTGTCACTTCCGGGGCTTGATCGGGGCTTCCTCAGGGCCAACGGCCAGGATTTCTGGCCCGTCGAATACCTTGGGCCAGAGGGGGCCAGCTCGGGCTAGAGGCGTGCTCAAGGTAAAAGGCGGAGTTTATCGGTGTTATGGAACGTTATCTGAAGCAAGATGCACACAGGGGTGTCCATGTTTAACCGATTAACCGTTTAAAATTGCATAACATTTTAATTTGAACTGTAAGCCTATGCCAAATGCTGCGCAAAAATATATAGGCTATATATAGGCTACATATCGACGAATTTTCAGATATTTGTTTGATTTTTTGCCCCTTAAACATTTAAAATATTTGACAAATTAATATGAAAAAAATATATATTTTACTGGTTTTCTGAGGCCAAATTAGAACCTGGAAATGATATTTTCCCTGCAGTGCTGAATGAGAAGAGCCGTAACCACAGCCTACAGAAAGGGGATTATAGGTGATTTATAATAAATGTGTCTGATAATAAAATAATATAAAATAACGAGGCATTAATTGTTTATTAATAAACTATTGTTTTCTAAATGATTTTCGGCTAAAAACATCTCCATCTCCGGATGCACATTTAGAGAGAAATTAATTAGCTACATAATTACATAGTCAGAAAGATATTGGCTTTCGATTCGAATTTGTTCGTTTTAAATTGGACATTTAAAGCTTTAATCTACAAGACTAAAGCTTTAAATGTCCAATTTAAAACGAACAAATTCGAATGCGGTGGCTGTTTCAGGTCTTGCGCTTCAGTTCACGGAGATCATGAAGCGCGCCTTGATTAATTGTTAAAGCACAACGTTTTCTTGTTATTGTGAGTTTACGCAAATAAAAGTATTTGCGAATAATGTATTATTATTTTCTGTATGACCAGAAATGAAAGAGTATTTTAAGTTGTTTCCACTGAAAGAAATGCAATGAAACTGCAAGTGTTCACATGGGCGTCTCGCAGCCATCACGCTCCACACACACTGGATATGCGCTGATATGCGTCAAAAATATTGTGTTTATTTGTGCTCTGTTCCTTTTTTGGATAAAGGCGTCTTCTACATATGCAGCCTAATAAAATGTTACAATAATGATGATGATGGTTATTATTATTATTATTATTATTATTTGCAGACACGGAGTTTTTGTGAAATGGACGTTTTGCTTATTTTCAATTGGCAATTTCAGTTTGAAGGGTGATGGAAATGCGGCTTTAACTGCTCCGTACTTGCTGCGTTTTATTTCTATAAATTAATTTCGTTTCAAATGGGGTCCAATCAGTTATTAAAGGTGTTAAAAAATTAACTCTGTATCTCGAGGTTGCGGCGTTTGTTATTTGTTAACAGGCTGCGGCGGTTCCGCAGCCTGTTATATCGCGCAAAAAATCGCTGCTTGAAATGGAGAATCGCCTGTACTGTTCTCGTGACACTATTGCAGCCACGGCAGGTGAGTTAATACACATGCTATCTTCCTAATTAAAAAAATAAATTAATTCATAATACCCGCTGAAATGGGTTGGGTTTTATGACGTTTGATCCAGAAAGGCGTGTTAGGGGTGGGGTCTGGGGCAGCGCTGTGGGGCTACTGGCCCGGCAGTGGAAACGCAAGCCCGGTGCTTGAGGCCCGAGGCCACTAGCTCGGCTCGGCTCGCTGTTAGCTCTGGCCCAGCCCTAGCCCGGCAGTGGAAACGCGGCTATTAACCACACAGGTAAGCTACTGAGTCCTCAGTGCCATAGAAAAGCGCTGAAATGGACATGAAGGGGAACCCGTTTTTTTCAAAACCCTGGCGCTGCGTCCTCCAAGTGTGGCGATTCCAACGTTTTTGCTAAAGGCGGGTACACAGTACGATTAACAAATAGTCCTTATGATTGTTGCGAACATGATCCTCGCTGTAAGCCATGTCACCATAAGATCTCAGTTGTCATTATTGATGTCAGACTGTACGGCAGTCAAAACGCGTTAAAAACAGACGGACTCAAGAAAGCTCGCCCGGATGACGCGCGACGCGTTCGGTGACTGTGATTACACGCGGGATTGAAATGGTGGCTACAAATAAATCTCTACCCTGATAGCACACGTACATCACAGAGACGTCTATTTGATGGGTGTGTTTACATCTGGAAGACGTCTTTTTTAGAATATTTGCTCATCTGCAATACGTCTATAGGACGTTTCCTGTCAGATGTCAAATAGACATTTAGAAGATGTCTTTAAGGTGTAATGATTTAGAATGTATCCCAGATAGCACAAGGGTATTTGATGTCCTATTTACATCTGGAAGACGTATTATTAAGAGTGTTTGCTCATCTGCAAGACGTCTATAGGACGTTTCCTGCAGATGTCATATAGACGTTTATAAGATGTCAGTTTAACATGCATTCTAAATCATTACATCTTAGAGACATCTTCTAAACGTCTATATGACATCTGCAGGAAACGTCCTACAGACGTCTTGCAGATGAGCAAACACTCTTTAAAATACGTCTTCCAGATGTAAATAGGTGATCAAACAGCCTTGTGCTATCTGGGATGTTAAACTGACATCTTAAAGATGTCTAGATGTTAGTAAACGGCAGATGCTTTCCAGATGAAGGGATCTTTAACAGACATCTTGCAGATGTACATGTGCTATCTTAATGTAGTTTTAATGTAGTAATGTTTTGGTCGTGGCTTGTCTTGAAAAACAAAGACAATTTGATGGTCGTCGTAGAAGTCACACTGCAGGACTGTGAGTCAAATCCTATGACAATGCCAGAATTTTGTCTGAGGTAAAATTTGATTTTTTTTTTTTTTGAAACGGTCTATCAGTGAACATGTCAAACTTACGATCAAAGACTTCAGACTTCCAAATTAGTCTCAGAAATCGTGGCCAAAATCGTACAGTGTGCATCAGGTGTAAGGGATGAAACGGCTAGGATTCTAAAATCTCAAATCTAGCTCAGGTATTCGGAGTCTAGAATTCCAAAACTAGTCCAAGTTTGATGTGGTCCTAGAAATCTAAATATAGAAGAGGAGAGTGCTGATGTGTTAAGTCTGGTTTAAAGCACATGGGTCCAGAAGACATCATTTCTGTCCACATAAAAAAAAAGCCAACCAACACAGACATGAAATAAAAGCATTCAAACACATTTTGATTGGCCAACTCTTAACATTCCGAGTACAAATAGAGTAGCTTATTAAGGTGAGTATGTTGCTTTTGATTTTTTTTGACCATGATCCCCCCAAAAAAAAAAAAAAAAAACTCATCATGTCCTTTTCACAAGTCCATCTGTCCTTGACAGACTCAGTGGTGACTAAAAACAGGGCCTCAGTCTTCAGTCTCCTTTTTAAAGGGATGTGTGTGCACTAAATGGTAAGAGTCTTTGGGGTTTCTTCGAGATCTTCTCTACCTTTTCACCAGATTCTTGGTCAGAGAAACATCCTCTAGCCTAAATGATTGTGATCGATTACGCCCAAGCTTGAACTGAATGCAGAGAGCCGCTCTGAGAAGTACAGATCTTTGATTTCCTGACTGTATGACTACGTGGCAAATAAGAGGAACACATATGGACAGGAAGAGTTCGATGTTCAGGACTAGTGCGTAATTGAGCTGGTGTCAGGGTCGGGTTCACTCTGGTTGGTGACAGAGTGAGAGCAAAGGCAACAGGACAGAGGATTGCTGGGTAAAAATAGGTATTTTCAAAAATGCCCATCACATTAGCCCTTGACTTCACCACATTTTTAAACCTGATTAATTCTTGTTGGGGACTAGATAATACAACACGCAAAAGTTTTTTTTTTTTAATTATTCTTCGACCGCACTGGCATTTTGATTATAAGATTATGCCAATGAATGTCTATGTTCTGGTATTGGCTGTAAGAGGTGGTAACCCAAACAAAAAGTGTGGAAAATGTTAGCAGGTAGTGACTAGTGTCAAAAAAAAAAAATGCATTACAATAAAGAAGTGGATTATTTTATAGGTTCATTCAGTTTTAGTTTTGATTTGAAAGCAAAAGTGCAAAAGGCATGAAATGGTGACCTTGAAATTGTAGTGATGCTATTTTCTTGAAAGACTCCAATGAGGAAAGAAAATCCTTTAAAAAATAATATTTAAATTACATATACATACATACTTATATATATATATATATATATATATATATATATATACACACACACACATACAGATAAACAGAGATTAACTAAGAATTTTCATAGTTTCTCACTAGAGTCTATAAAGAAAATAACATTAAGATTTTATTATTTTTGCCTGTATATAATTTTTTATAATAAATACATGGTTATAATAAAAAAAGAGTTGGAGAACCTCTTTAGAATAAGTGACAATCTCATAACATGTTAAACCTGTTTGGATCTCTAAATAAAGCCAGTTTCTTTTTAGGCAAAATGTCAACCGTGCCACCAGCCAACTGATCTCAGATCAGCTGTAGTCTGTGAAAGCGGCTGAACATGTCAGTGGTGAGGATAGATGAGAGTAGAGCAGACTCTCTGTATTCTGTGCCTCTTTTAGACCAAGGTTATTTTAGGCTGGATCAGAGATTTTTCATGTGCTGAGACAGACGAGATCACTTCCCTTTCGATAGAAAGCTCGCGCACTGAAGCATATGATCGGATCTACATGAAAACGACAGTACAAACAGTAAACGCATACATCACCACCCCCACTACCCCATTCCCAAATTTCTCTGATTAACCTCAACAATAGTGCAAAAGTTCAGAAAAGGTTTTCAATTTATATGTAGAACAAGTCTTTAAGACAGTCGACGCCCCATGACACCTTCCGAATAAACCTTGGCACTAGGATTTGGATTTTCACCCTTTTTCGCATTTGTTTTGTTCATGCTGCACAGATCTCGGTCTTTAAATAAAAAATAATGGAAAAAGAAAAGAAAAAGAAATTTCTATCCACACAGCTAGTGCGTCAACGTGCGTGTTGGGCAGGGAGAGGGGCATTCAAGGGGGATAAAACGATAAAACCAACGAGAAGAACAACAACAACAACAAAATGCCTGTCTTGTGTGCGAATGACCTTCTCTAAAGTTGTCGGCTATACACAAGTAATAGAGAGCAATTAAGGTGGGAGACTCCAGGCAGTGCATAAACCCCAGTTTTAGCGCAGCTGGTCTGACAGAAAACAAATGTAATGTTTTCTTTTGTAAGCTCAGCTCCTCAGCTTCTTAATTTTTTATAAAAAACACATGGTTTTGCTTCTTTTTTTTCCTTGCAAAGACACATCATAAGCGCTGTTGTGCACGGGAGTGTCAAGAGGGAGAACCTGTTCCCTTTATGGGTGGAGAGTGATCGCGATTGGCCAATCGTGTGCTAGCCCCACCCCCTCACACTAGCTCCTCCTTTTGTCTGTCTTTGCTTAAACCTATTGTGCTCTCTGGGCTATTTAAATCTGTCCGGCCCCTGGGTGGAGTCTGCACAGTGACAGTGAGGGGCGGGTTATTGCTGTGCTGGTGGAGGTAAAGTACGATGCCCGGCTGCTGCCCAATGACTTGACTGTAAGCGGGCGGAGGGCCCTCCATGCGTCCATGGGTACTGGAGCTGGTGGCGCTGATCCCAGAGTTGCTACTGGGAGGTCGCGGCCCACCGCCACCCCCTGAACTGTGCATGTCAATGAGGTCGCTGTCAAAGATGGTCCGGTTGGGCGGGGCACGTACGGACTCTCTGTTGAGCTCGAGCTGCTGTTCGGGGTCTCTCAGCTGCAGTGTACAGGGCCCTGGTACGGTGGCGGTTCCTCCCCGTCTGACAGCGAGATGGTGGGTGGCAGGTCGATCTCATGCTGCAGGTATGGGTACGTAGGCTGGAAACGTCTGAAGCGGTTGTGCTGCATGAAAGTGGGAGCGGTGAAACGGTCCCTTGGCTGAGGAGCGTACACCACCTGCGGAGGACAAGAGAGAGAATCCAAGATCGAAAATGAAAATCTGCCCTCTTAGCTATAAAGTCGTAAAATCAGTAACTAATAATTTGACATTAGCAAATACCAATTATCCAAAGTTTAAGGGCACAATGGGAGTAGAAGTTCAAGGATCATCCCTTGTAGGGTTTTCAATTACCAGTCCAAATCGTTGACCACTTGGGTGTGTGTATATATATATATATGATTATATAAATTTATGTGTGTGTGTGTGTGTGTACTATTATAATAGAATAATTCATTTTAATTATTTAATTTATTAATTATTTTATTAACATTATTTATTTCATATGGATATTTTGAATGGCAAATAAAATCTTGATACATTTTTAAGCTATATTACCCAGCCCCATACCACATAAATAACAGAGAAAGAGCGAATGAGTCTATATTATTCACTAGAACATCCAAATAAATCCATGTTTACAACAGACAAAATTGTTCACTCAGAATTGTTCATATTCTACTCATGTCACATCCACACAGATAAAAAAAAAATGACTCTACCATTTCCATATAAACTCACCAGAGCCCCAAACTTAAACAGTCCCCAGTCCAGACATTAGTATGCTAATATGCAGCTGATAAAATATCCTCATATGAGTGAAATCTGCATGTCAGTTAGCCAATGAGATCAGTCTCATACTGCGGGGCCACGTATACATTAGCGAGTTGGATGCTGATGGGAGGCAATTTACGCGAGATAGACTGTGAGTGTCTGGTCTCTCAGACGTCTAGACGCTGCCAGAGGAGGGTGAGAGATTAATGAACTGCTGAGAGGCAGCATGCTTCCCGGTGAGAGAGACCCCCCCACCCCCACCACACACACAAACAATGAAATATATATGCAAGTATTCTCTCCACACAATATTTTTTAAGTGCTATCACTCACAGACACAGTCTCGGAGACTATAATCCTCCCTCACATACGCCTACACTGAGAAGCACAGGCACACTCAGGCATATGACACAGCATACACTCGAGGAGACTTTCACTGCTTGTTACAGGCAGACATGCCATCAAGGAGAATACATCATAGAAAAAGCGAACAACCATCATTAGACAAGCTCCTTAAGGACACACACACACACACACACACACATTACCTCAGATGCTCCTTGTCTCAGCCCATTATCTGATGGCCACAAAGAACCCTCCTACAAACAAGGATGAAAAATACACAGATGTAATATTCTGAATTACTTGCAATTTAAGATAATCTAAATCAATCTAATCTCACTGATAGTAAATCACTGATACATAATAACTAGTCAAAATTATTTCGTTAACCCTGAAAGTTGATTAAAGTGGAACATTTAAAATCAATGTCTAAGTTCACTCACTGTCATAAAACTTAACATATCAGAAATATTCTGAAATAGTCATAAACGGCATTAAAATATAAACGAATACATAAGTAAATAATATTAATAATAATAAAAAACTAAATCAAATACCTGCTTGTTAAACCATAATAATGCTCTGTGATTTCATATACCCATATTAAAAAAATGCATGGATGACATTAAAAAACATACAAAAATGTTAATATAATATAAAATAACACAACAAATTTAATCAATAATAATTCTTCAATAAATAAATAAATAACCTGTGTGTTAAACCCTAATTATATTTCATACAGGCTCAGTTAAATTCTAAAAATGCTCCGTGACTACATCCATATTTAATTTTTATGGATGACATTTTAAAAATAAATAAATACAACAAAGCCATACAAATTTGTTAAACCCTAATTATATCCATTAAAAAAAAAAAAAAATCCCAATCAGACAGATTCCATTTGTTAAACTCTAATAATGCTCTGTACCTATATATCCTTTCTAATTAAAAAGCCGAAACAAAACCATGGAGTAACATTCTCCCAGACATCGCTGCTTGCCACCCTCGCTGGCTTCCCTCCCCCTTACGTTCCCTCATGAATGAAAATGAAAAGTCCTAGTCATTTAGCAGTCTCTCCCGAGTGCTGCAGTGGGCTGCGCGTGTCTATTTGACTGGCGTCTAGACAGAACTGCTGAATGCAATCAAAATGCCCTGGTCTCAGAGGGACACTGCCATTGTGTCTCTTCCAAAACACACTGTCTTTTCTGAAGGAGTAACATGTAGCGTTTTAATTACATGTAGTGCATCCAGTAATATAAACTATGTCCTTATGCAGCAGCGTTCAGTTTTGAACAACTTAGACCTCATGCACTCTGTAGCATCTACACAAACCTCCTTAATTTCCTGCAGTCTGTCTGGTTTTAAACTGTGCAAATGTTCCAAAAATCATCCCTCGGGTGAGGTGGGAAAACACACACGCACACACACACACACACACACACACACACACACACGCAGAGCACTCTCTCATCAGCTCACTGCTGCAAGTTATTTTGGATTAGACACAAAGAAGACATTTCCAGAAGTAAACACACACACACACACACACACACCACTCAAGAGACTTTTAGGTCCTGCCGTTTTCTTCTTTTCAAAGATGAAAGCTCACCTGGATAATATATACCAAATAAGTTTTAGAGATGACACAGAAGGTGAAAAATACATCTATTCAGCATAAGAAATTGATATTTCATTTCTCAGCCTGGAATACATCAAGGAACTGTGATGTTTTTGAATTAAAATATGATATAAGAAGGTGCTTATTGTCCTAGATTTGATGATCCTTATGAGCTCTTGGACACTGGAACCCACTTCACAGAACCTTTGTGAAGTCTCATCCCTTTCTACCTTCCAAAAACGGTTTAAAACTCATTTGATTTCTCTGTGCTATTCTCACAGCCTTTTAAACAATCCCTTTTAGTTCTGCTGTTGATTGACTGAAATATTCTGCTCATTTCTGTTTCACGAATTTCATGCCACACTGCCATTTGCTTTTATGTTGTTTACATTTCATATTATTCCCATGTTTCTTGTATTTAATTGCTCATCATGCCCTTTCATATTTAGCAATGTTTTGTAAAGCAACGTAAGACAGCAGAGAAGAGACAGGAAATTAGAGGCAGCTTATGTGTTCCATATGAACTTCTAGGCTACACCTCATACATACAATTTTAGTTCCTGTCCAGGGCTCATTGAAATATTTGAGGATGGTTGAACTGAAGGAAGGTTTTCAAAGCACAGGTGCTGTTGTCAGGACGGGGTCTTACCGGCTGCAGAGAGAGATCCTGACTCTGTGCCTGACTTGCCCGGCTCAGGAACGACCACGTGGTGCGTTTGTAGTGGTTGAGCAGGCACACGACCACCACCACCATCACAGTCATCACGACAATTATGATCACGATCTGCACAAACTCCAGTTCAGCTGCAACACATAAAAAGACAAAAAGAGCTCAGAACAGTGCAAAACGGAGAAACAAAAACAGATTTTGTTTACAATGACGAAATTTTTATAAAAACAAAAAAAAAAAGAAAAGAAAAGTTTAGTCTCATTTTGACCAAAAGATGGCAGCAGAGTCAATCAACATCATGATGACTACAGTCTCCCAAATTTGTGATATCATCTGGCAAAAAAAAAAAAAGGTGAGAGCCATTTTAGTTTGTCATGACAACAGGATGAATATTATTCACTAGGATAGTTCACTGAATTAAAGCAAGATCACTAGTACAGCAAGACCTTTGAACTAATCATATAAAGCAATCCAATATCTTCAGAAAATTTGGACTAAGTCACTTATTTCATATGGA